GCTACTTGGAAGGCTGAGGCGAAAGGATCGCTGGAGCCCAGCAGGTCGAGGCTGCGGTGACCGGGAGTGGCCACTGCACTCCTGTCTGGGTGACAGAGTGAGACTCCAACTAAAAAAAAAAAAAAAAAATCTGACTCTAGCCGGGCACAGTGGCTCACACCTGTAATCTCAGTGCTTTGGGAGGCTGAGGCTGGAGGATTGCTTGAGCCCAGGAGTTCAAAACCAGCCTGAGCAACATAGGAAGACCTCATGCCTTTAAAAAAAAAAAAAAGTTGAGTGTAGTGGCAATAGTCCCAGCTACTCAGGAGGCTGAGGCAGAAGGATTGCCTGAGCCTACAAGGTAGAGGCTGCAGTGGGCTGTGATCGTGTCACTACACTCCAGCCTGGGCAGCAGAGTGAGACTCTGCCTCAATAAATAAATAAATCGGATAAAATCTGCCTCCCTCTCGCTGACTATAGGCTCCTCGAGAGCTGGGCTCATCTCTGGAACGCCATATCTTGCAGAGTACCTGGAAGAGAGCAGATATTCAATAAATAATGGTGAAATAACCAAATCTCTCTCATCTTCTAGACAGTACTTAATAAAAAAATAGATTTGGCCTGGCACGGTGGCTTACGCCTGTAATCCAGCACTTTGGGAGGCTAAGGCAGGAGGAAAGCTTGAGCCCAGGAGTTCAAGACCAGCCTGAACAATAAAGTGAGACCTTGTCTCTACAAAAAAATAAAAATAAAAAAAACAAGCTGGGCATGGTGGCACGGCCCTGTAGTCCCAGCTACTCTGGAGGCCGAGACAGAAGGATTGCTTGAGCCTAGGAGGCTGTGGTGAGCTGTGATTGTGCCACTGCACTCCAGCCTGGGTAACAGAGTGAGACCTCGACTCACAAAAAAAAATCAAAATAGATGCTCAGAGATTTATTTTGTTTGATTTTTGATGATGTTACTGAATCTGATGTTATGAAAGAAACCACCTGTCTCCCTCGTCCAGAGTGAACCCAGCTCCCCACTGAGATCATGACAGCCATATACTTCCTGGATCCCGGACACCAGGCTTCTCCACAGACAGGAGCTTGTGAGTTTAAGTAACAGTATTAAACACTTCAATTGGAGTTACTTTTAAGCAAAACATGCAAGAGGCGATGAATGTGGCTTTGGCCAAAGACCAGGTGCTTGAGAATGATTGCTGGGAAGCAGAGCAGGGATTTATTATAATAATAGAAATAACTGATACTCCTTATTGAGGGCTTAGCATATGACAGGCACTGTGCCAAGTATTCTACTTACGTTATCTGATTTGATCCTCACCACAACCCTGTGAGTTAGGTATTAGTTACCCCCACTTTATAGATGAGGAAATTGAGGCTTAGAGGGATTAAGTAAATCACCCAAGGGTCACACAGCTGCTAGTGATAAAAACTAACATGTTTTGAGAGCTCACCATGTGCAGGAAATTTTTTTTTTCCTCCTGACCCCCCCCCAGGAATTTTTTTTTTAACTTAATCCTTATAGCGACCCTAGGAGGTGGGGGCTCTTACTAAATGGGACAGAACTGGGATTTGTGCCCAGGTCTCTTGCCACCAAAGTCTAGTGCTTAACTAGTGAACTTATGCTTCCAGAGCTCACCACAGAAAGTTCCATAAACATTCATCCTCTGGGATGTGGGACCACATGCCTGGGGTTGGAGGCTGGTGAATGCCCACGTTTAGCTTTGCCTGGAAGGTGTTGTCATGAAATCTTAAGATTTCTTTTAAATTCTAGGACTGGGCGCAGTGATTCATACCTATAATCCTAGCACTTTGGGAGGCCGAGGCAGGAGGATTGCTTGAGCCCAGAAGTTTGACACCAGTATGGGTAACATAACAAGACCTCATCTCTACAAAAAAATTTTTTTAATTAGCCAGGCATGGTGGCATGTGCCTGTAATCTCAGCCACTCAGGAAGCTAAGGTGGAAGGATCTCCTGAGCCCAGGAAGTTGAGGTTGCAGTGAACCATGATAATGCCACTGCACTCCAGCCTGGACAACAGAGTGAGATCCCAACTCAATCAATCAATCAATCAATCTTTTTTTTTTTTTTTTTT